GTAATTTCACTGTTCTGGAATGGTTTCTAGTACTCTGTCTTCTGAAATGGGGGCTTAGGAGTGAAACCAGGCGTGCTCTGTCCTCTTGTAAAGGTGCTTTTCTGGTTGTTGTTGTTGTAGCCTCTGTTTCACTGCGGATTCCCATACCTTTGACCCTGAAAACCACCAGAATTGATGAAATTTACATCCTCTTGTTCAACCTCCTCTAGAACTTCGAAAGTTTCCACTTCTGCAGCAAAGTGAGCTGACTTTTTTCCCACCAAAAAGCTGTGCATATCATCCAGATTAGCCTTAACTTCAGCAGTCTGATTTCCATCAGCCACACCAGCTTGTTTTATCCTTTGAAAGTCTGCATTTTTAGTGCTGTTGCTGCAGACCAAATTCTCAATCAGTCTGATCGCCTCCTCTGGTCTATTAGTGTTGAAGTTTCCTGAACTTGCTGCATCCAGGGCCATCTGATACTTCCAGTCAATGCCTCTAAAGAAAATCCCAAATAATTGCACCTGACTGAAGCCATGATGAAGACAGTCCCTTTGATAAGACTTGAATCTGATCCAAGAAGTCTTAAAAGCTTCAGTAGGGCCTTGTGTAAAGGATACAATTTTCGTCTTCATGTCCTCTGATCTTACATTATCATAGAAGTTATTCAAAAAGGCGTTCTTAGTGTCTTCCCAAATGGTCAATGAAGCAGGTTCCAGTTGCTTCAGCCAATATGCAGCTTCTCTTTCAAGAGAGTAAGGGAAAAGCTTGCAGAACAGAAAGTCATTGCTAACACCATTAGCTTTGACACTGGAAGCTAAATCTTCAAACCTCTCAATGTGATCCATAGGATGCTCATGAGGTAGGCCATTGAATGGATGTTGACCAACCAGCTGATAGTAGACAGGTTTAACCTCAAAATCGTTCTTCTGAAAGGCAGGAGGTCTGATTGTAGCTCTGTTGGCATAGAACTGATCAGATCTGTTGTAGTCACCTAGAGTCCTATGAACAAAACGCCCAGCAGCGTTATTTGCAGCAACAGGGACTCCAACGTTCTCATCCACTTGTTGAACCTGCTGTTCAACAATGACATCCCCTTCTTGATCAATCCTCTGCCCCTCAACTTTTTCTTCGTTCCTCCTGTTTCCTTCTCAGTCAACCAAGTGACCTTCTGCATCTTCAATCAAGATAAGTGGAGCGATCATTGTAGATTGCTTCTTAGCTTTTCTGTTAGTTCTCTCCAACCTAGCTAGTTCGTCGATGCTCAAAGTCACAAGCTCCTTCTCCTTGTTGCTTCTGGTACTGCGATTAGGCATACACCTGAAACCAGCACAAAGAAAAGAAACTGAAAGTCAGTAAACAAATTAAAACTTAGAAAAAATCCTAATACTAGAAATCGATAGGAAGCTATTACTCCCCGGCAACGGCTCCAAAAACTTGATAGGGCTCAGGTTTTACCCAAATAAAACTACTGCAAGTGCACAACAAAAGCAGTTGTAGTACAATGGGTATCGAATCCTAAGAGAATAATGTAAACTACACTATCGAATGTAGGTTCAGATTAAGCTAAGCAGGATATAATGTATGTAATGCGACTGATTAAATAAAAGTAAGCAAGCGATTTTGTTGTTTGATCTAAGTTTCAGAAGACTAAAAACGCTAAGTCAGGACAGTTCGCAGGTTGAATCCAAGAATGTAGAATGCATGAAATCATGAATGATTAAGAACCGTTTTAAACATGATAAGAATGTTCGAAATCTTCTCAAAAGAGTACAGAATTTGTCTCCCCAAAAAGCTCTAAATAAATCTCTCTCTAAGCTCTCTGAATTCTCAAAAACTAAGATAAAAACCAACAATGGCTGAAAAACTTAATAAATAGAGGCTAAACACGATCTGGAGTCTTTTTAAAAATATGGGAACTTCTGGGCCAATTCTGCAAATAGTCTTTATACTTTTAATAAATCAAGCCACGCTCATTCCTTGATGGATGACGAGCGTCACCAAAGGTGGTGACGATCGTCACAATATGGCATACTTTCTTCTCCAATATAGGTACTTCGTGGCTTCAACTCAAAATGCTCCAAAAGGCTCCAATATCTCCAATCATGTTTCAGATATGCTATAACCTGCAAAGACTCTTCTAGGACTCTAAAAAGACAAAAAACTCAATAAAAAGGACTTATATCATGGTTAAAAATCATAAAACCATGATATATCATTCCTCAATGTTTCAATAATTTAATCCCTTTACTTGAAGAGTTGAGTATGAGTAATAACAGTTTCAGTGGGAATCTTCCGGATATATTCGTCGATGCTACAAGATTTAATGCACTTGACGTTAGCCACAACCACTTGGAAGGGAAACTTCCAAGATCGTTAATCAATTGCACAAATTTGCAACTTCTAAAGTTGCATAGCAACAGAATGAAAGACGAGTTTCCATTTTGGTTGGGTTCTCTGGAATCTTTAAAGATCATCATCCTCCGATCAAACCGATTCTACGGGCCATTGTATCATCCTCACGTGTCCATTGGGTTTCAAAGTTTAAGAGTCGTCGATATATCACACAATGGCTTCACTGGTTCCTTGCCGTCTTTCTATTTTTCAAACTGGCGTGAGATGACCACAGTAACCGAAACAGATGGTGGCATGTACATGGAAAATCTCGTCTACCCATTCTACAAAAGTTTGTATCATGATTCGATGGAGATGGTGCATAAAGGAGTAGATACAGAGTTTGAAAGGATCAGAGTGGACTACAAAGCCATTGATTTTTCAGGAAACAAATTTCTTGTAAACATCCCTGACTCTATTGGTTTGTTGATGGGACTGCATGTCCTCAACTTGTCCGGTAACGCATGCACAAGCAATATCCCACAATCGTTGGGAAATTTGACAAATCTTGAGGCATTAGACCTATCTCGGAACAAACTGTCTGGTCAGATTCCTCGAGATCTTGGCAGGCTCTCTTTTTTATCAGTTATGAACTTCTCCCACAACAATCTCCAAGGTTTGATACCAGGAGGCACACAGTTTCAAAGGCAAAATTGTTCTTCGTTCATGGAGAACCCTAAACTCTACAGTCTCGAAGATGTATATGGAGAAAGTGATCATGTTCTGATTCCTACAGCACAAGAATCCAAGGATTTATCAGAGCCAAAAGAACAAGTGATAAGTTGGATAGCAGCAGCGATAGCTTATGGACCTGGTGTGTTCTACGGATTGGTCATTGGACGCATCTTCTTTCCACATATACACGAGTAGTTCATGTCAAAGTTTCCTCGAAATGAAACAAGCCTAAAATTGTCGTGAGAAGTGCTTGTTGAACACCATCTCTTGTAGTCTATTTTAAGTGTTTGTGAAAGCATATGTATGTGTGTGAGCTTCAGTTGTAATTTTCTATTTTTTTGTTTTGTAATAAACGTCTTGTTGATTTCTGTATTTAGTTCATTAATTTTTTGCTTACCTTGTTTCAGTGCTTCCTTGCTACTTGATTTTGTGAATATAGATGGCCACTTACTCGTGCACACACTTACTAGCATGATTTTTCATGATATCGTTGCTTCCTTGCTGCTTCTTCATTAGAGGTTAAGTTGATTTTGTTGGCATATTGTATGAACGACTTCTCCTGTATCAGAGGTAAGACATCGTTTCACCTTATTTCCTAGTGACGTTGACTTTTCTGTTCAATGACTTAGATTTTGAAACACAATGGACACATTTGGATGATACAATGGCCCGTGGAAATTGTATCATCGATATATCACACAACGGGTTCAATGGATCTTTGCCGCCTTTTTTATTTTTATTGTTAGTGTAACATGGCGACATTCATGGAAAAAGCTTACGATGATGAGAACTTAGGCAACTCCGAGGTATGGTATCGACTATTATAACTCGTTCGAGATGGTGCATAAAGGAGCAGATACAGAGTTTGAGCGGATCAAGAGAGACTTCAGAGCTATTGACTTTTCAGGAAACAACATTGTTGGAAACATTCCTGAATCTAGGTTTGCTGAAGGAACTGCGTCTTCTCTTAACTTCTTAGGCAACGTTTTCACAAGCAATATCCCGGAAATTTGTCAATTCTTGAGGCATTAGATTTATCACGGAACAAACTCTCTGGGGGAGTCTCTCTTTTTTATCAATCACAACAATCTCGAAGATTCAATAGCGCGAGGCACACATGTGATTGGACATATCTTTGCTTCACACAAACATGAGTGGTTCATGGAAAAGTTTGGTCGAAACAAGGCAAGAGGATTTATCACAAGTACTCATTAAGTCTATCACTCATGATGTGTTTGTAGGGAAATTTGACAGTCTGTTCTACAAAAATTCGTTTATGTTTGTAAGTTTATATTTGTTATATATAAACGTCTTTGGTGAAATATGATATTTATTTATTTTTGTTTTTATTCTTCCTACTCTTATTAACTTGTGATCGTAAAATGTCTTTAGGGATTCTTGACCAACTTTTTTTTTATATAGATAGGGTCTGACTGGTATGTCAGATGAATAACAGAATAGCGGAATAACTGAAAAATTACTAGCGGAATGAACTGAACTGAATAATATTTTAGCTGAATAATTGTGAAACGCTGAAAAGCTAATTTTAGTAGATTAATCACGTTTTATTTTTTTTAGTTATATTTTTAACACGCTAGCAGAATCACGTTTCAAAAACATATAAAAACGTGAAAACGTGATGAATAACATGAATGGTAAAAAATAACAGAATCAAGTTTCCAAAACATGAAAACATGAAAAAACTACATACCATTCAAACCCATAGTTTTTCTCATAAGCATCCCTATTGAGTATTTCTCACAATATAAAATAATATATATATATTTTAAAAATAAATTTCTTTAAAAGAAAATTTATATGAGATATCTTGAGAACCCCTAAATTGAGCTATATGTCTATTTTTTATTGTTTCAGTTTTTGACAATAAATCAAATACATATTAGTGTACAATGTTGATCAAATAGTTTATATGTTGTTATTTTTTTAATTTTCTGTGTTCATAAATTGTAAAATAAATTTATACTATTAAAAGAGGATCCTAATTTTAAATTAATCTTTGTCTAACGTGTTTATTACATCATTTGCTATTAATGAATTAATATAAATAAATGTATAAACTTTGTAAATAAATTAAACGATACTAACTATTTGAACTTTAACTAAAATATAAACCATTTATGCGATTCTTTGTTACTCTTCTGTTGTCATATTGAACAGATTATAATCTAAACCATTTGTGTGATTTTGAACCATTTGTTGAACCGGATAGTACCTGCATCGATCAACATAGAAGTAACAAAACACTACTTAACAATCAGACTCTAATCAACTCCATCTACTAAACATTGATCAACACACAAGAAACAAAACATTAATTCACAATCACACTTGAATTAAGTTCTTTTTACTAAGCCATTATCTGTGTTTGTTTTCCACAGATCTATTAACCAAAAACGAGAACTAAGTGATTGCAATCAAGGGTGTTAATGTTTTAGCATGAAAAAAACCAAAGCATATGTTTTCAAAACTATATGAATATAATTAAGAATCGAAACACATTAACCGATTTTCTACTAAGATATTATCTACCTTTTAAACGTTTTCAAATCTTTAATTCACCAAAGATTTTATATTTTTAAACCTTTAATACTCAAATAAATCTATTTAAAACGTTGATGTCAAATCCTAACCGACAACACTTGCTTCCCGTAAGCATCTCAACTAAATCTGCTATTTACAAGATATTTCAGTTAAACTATATAACAAACAACTAACTAAAAAGTATTCAGATGAGACGAACAGAATATGTGAAGGCAGTATAATCTTCACATCTCAACCATATATTGTAATTACAAGATTTTTCGGTTAAGCTTTATACTGCCAACTAACTAAAACCGATTTATACTAAAACAATTGAGAGGATATTCCGCATATCCGAACTTCCTATCAATATATCTACAATATTCTATATTTTTAACTAAATAAACTTTTTCCTCAAACTATTCTGTATTTATTTATGTATATTCGAGATCTTCCATATATTTTTGAATTGTTTGAGCTAATTAAATTTGAGTTAGTTGAATTCATTTCCCCTATAAATACTTCATTCGTCTTAGTTATTTCACACATTCTCTAAAAACAAAACATCCTAAATCTCACGTTTTTCTTAGCAAAAAAATGAGTTCTCTTATTGGTTTTACTAACCTGTCCGAGGTCAAGCCTTTCAAAACAGGATGGAGAGTTTGTGTGAAAGTCCTACATTCATGAATATTTAGTCTATGATCGTTCTACAGAAAATAGCTCATGCTCTTCCCGTCCACTGCCATTAGCAAAAAATCATCTTCAGTTCATAAAAACTAAACACTTATTCCTGCGTTTTATACTTTACCACGTTATTACAATATGTCATAAAGTTTATTGGTCAGTTTAGTTTCATATTTGTGATATTTTCAGTCTCATCAGAAAGTGAGAACATGATCTGACAAGTGAAAATGTTAACAATGCTTCAATTGTTAATTCTAAAAAGACGAGATTTCATTCGCAAGCATCATGCAAGTATTAAAGAAAATATAATCATGGATGTTTAAACATGATTTCAAACTTATGCTTATGCAGTGACATGGAATGTTACCTACACATACTCACAGTTTCTAACCAGAGAGCAGAAAGCATCCAAGCTGTTGCGTCTCTTTCTATTATCTCTTCAACGACACCATAAGTCCTTGTCCGTCTTTGTGCATGTGGCTGCAAAAACAAAGGAGTTGCGACAAGTGAGCAATACAAAAAGAAAACAAATCAAGGAAATTTGAAACTCTTTCTTATCTCCTGAACTGAGCCAGAATCCATCCCACTTTACTTCTAGACAAAGGATATGCTTTTATATTTGTTCATATATATGACTTTCATATTTTGATTCACAACAAGGAAAACAAAGTTTCATAAAAACGATCATTACACTAACGACTTCTCATTATACAGTTAATACAGTCACAAAGAGTGCTATAAAAAATATATATATCAAGAGACATAGCCAAAGATCAGATTCTGGGGATGAACTTAATACCTGTTTAGAAAATGAAAGAAAGAGTCAAGCAAAAAAAGTAGTTTCACTCAAGCACTCAAACACTTTGTTTTGTTTTTAATTTACATACACGAAAGTCAGCAAGTAAACGAGATTTTCATTGTTCTGTACCTGAGCATATATTTGTATGGATCCGTCTTCACTGATTATGGTTGTGACTCTACCCTCTAATATCCAAGCACGAGACATAGTCTAAATTTTGGTGTTGTGTGTTGAGTCCTTTGACAACGAAACTGAGACTTTTTTTAATGATTGCCAGGATAACTCAAAATTAAATCTAGAGCATCTCTAAATCGGCAAGTATTTTACAATGGTGATTTTGTAACATAACCTGCAACTGAGTGAACAATTGAGTTCTTTCATACAAACAATTTTGAAATCAATCCTTAATTTGTCTAAACCCTATAATACCATTCACTAAGATTAAATGAGAACTTAATCCATTCGGTAAATCAAATTTACCTTCAATAAATGTCGGTTGTGGCTTTGTGATTTCCCTATTGATCCAAGCTTCTCAGCTCGCTCTGGAAGATTCACAATTGTCTACAAGAGAAGATGAATGGGTTGATCGCATACTTATTTTGGTCTGATACCATGCATTTTTAGTCACTTCAGCTGGAGTCACCATTGCTCTCAAAAAAACGAAACCCAAATCCAGATCAGGGGTAAAAATTTGAAGCTAATTGAGTTGAAACGGGATCGTTTCGTTTAAATCGGACATTGAACAAGCTGCTAGGAAACGAACACCAACGTACCGTTCCAAAGAGAGAGAAGCGCGAGGTGTTGCTGCCGGAGAATATACAGTGCGCAAAACTTGGATTCCTTGATGCGATTCGATAGTGGATCCAGCTTGAAACTGAAGAGATTCACCGCGAATAGTTGACGAGGATTGGTGAAGAAGAAGATAGAAGCCAATTGGAGACAGGTTCCGTCGGAAAAACAACATACATTTGTGCCAGAAATTCTTCAATATTGAAACGAAAACGCACGAGGAATTGAGAGAAGATGATACGATCCTCAAAGGTTGAGGCTCGTTTTGGCGGAAGAAGGAGGCTGAAAGCTGGACTAAAGTCACTCTCTTTCAACTGGTGGAATAGAAGATGAACAAAGTGGAAAGATGGCGGGACTAAGGTCATTCCTCTAGAAGGCTGGTCGGATGATGATGAGTAGAAGGTGGATCGATGGTCTCCACAAAACCTGATGGAAGGAGACAATGATGAGACAAAGTTAAACTGGGTAGAAATCACAAATGCTTAAAAAAACTGAAAAAGAGAGAACTCTTAAAAAAATGCTTGATCTTTATTGATTGTGTGAAAAATACAAGGCTGTGAGGGGACTTTATATAGAGTCCAAACAGCTATATCCTTCTAGGGGTCTTTGAAGCAAATTATAATAAATGCAGTTAAATTAAAGGGATTAAAATGGCTAACAATTGCCTTATCTAATGGAAATTGAAAATTAAAATAAATGCAAAGGAGATCAAGAAAAACAAAGAAAGTTAGTCAAACAATATAATGAATTCAGTCTTACCTTTGAACTGATTTGTAGGGATTTGTTTGACTTGCGGGAGGGGATGAACCTGGATACCTTTAGGTTGGAAAAATGGTGAATAAGGAGACTTCAGGCCCATACTTGATAAGTGGCCATTCTTCTATGTTGCTTCTTGGACCGTCCTTGATGAAATGATCCTCTTCTTGATATGGTTTGGCTTGCACTTCGGTTGGACTTTGATCTTAGGAAATGGTCAACTTCGTCAGCTGCTCGGTTATGTCTCGAACCTCGTGATCTACAAGTAATATCTCTACAGCTTGGTTGAAGTTCTCCCTAAGCCTCTTAGCTTCTGCTCTAGTCAAAGGTGGAACGTTCATAGCTGGAACAAGGGTGGTTGGCGGAATACTGGTACTTGGGATCACATCAGAAGCGCACAAGGATGTGATCACGTACGCTGTTCCCAACCCAAGAAAATCGGAAAATTTGATTTCTGCTTTTCATCTATGCCCTCAAGCATCTCACACGGTTTGGTTTGAAAAGTCGAATGTAGTGGCCTCTTGTGTCCTTGCAATGTAATCACCGACCATTTTTTTCACTTTCGAACATTCCTAACATCAATGGACTCTCATTTCCATGTTCAGAACCTAAACGTTACAAAATAAAAAGGAATATACAAAAAAAAATGCACTTCATGATAATTGATAATCGACCAGACTAAGAAAATAGAGAACAGTCTCAAACCTGAGAAGCAAGGAACTGGCAAGTGGCAACATAGGCTGGTTCTGCGGTAAACAGAAGATTGTTCTCTAAACCTACTGAGAAAGTGATAATGAAGGGAGCTAGGGTTGTGGGAGTCTATATCATCCCTTGATCGATGAAAATTTGCTTAGAGTTGTGCGTTGGTAAGCACTAGATTCCATCATTTTCCATGTGTTTATTACAACCTTGCTCGATCTGATGAACAGGAGAAACAAAGAGGTTTATGCATGGACTGTGGGTGTTTAAAATAGTTTCAGTAGTAATCGTTGAAAGAAAAAAGTTGGTAATATATTATTTCATAATAATTTTTTTTTTTTACCTAATTACAAAAAACAAATAGAAAAGTATGTAGTATATTATTTATCATTGTTTTTTTTTTTTGATAAAGAGTTTTCATTAATTAAAAAGATTACAAGCTGGACTTAAAATAAACCGAACAGAAATACAGAGGATATATAGGAAAGAATTAAGGGAAGAGGGAGACCATACAATGTTTCAAAGCGAAAGTTCAGAGAGAACCGAGAGTATACTTAAAAACCTGAAGACCAGATTTGAAGTAAAATCTCACCCTTTTTTGAGCCCATGTTTTTCAAAGCTAACACTTTGTTTTTCACCACCTTGAGAATCCTGTGAAGCACCTTGAGAATCCTGTGAAGGACGAGATTAAGAGGAGTGTTACACCATTGTGGTAGCAAGGATTTCTCTCTTTCCAAATTTCATAGATACAACCCTGCCACAATTGAAGGAGAGCCAGCGATATGTCCATTGATGGAGTTGCATTCGGTAACTAGATTAGGACATCATTCCAAGAAAAAGGAACCATCGTGAAGTGCAATTTGTGCAATAAACCCAACCAGATCTCTTTGGAGTAAGCACAATCAAAGAATAAGTGATTACGAGATTCATCACCTTGACCACAAAGGAGACAAACAGTTTTCACATATAAGCCCTAAGTGAATAGATGGTTAAGCGTTGGATTTCTATCCAACGTGAAAAGCCAGACTGTTATAGCATGTTTTGGAATCATCGCTTTGTGCCAAATCAAGGATAACCACGAGACTTCGGGTTTTCTCTGTCTAATACTGTCCCATATGTCTTTTGAACTGAAGAAGGTGCAAGCCTTCTCTCCTATTTCCCAGACCGTGAAGTCTGATGTCTCAGAAAGATGGATTGTTGAGACGTAGGCGAGGAGTTACAGTTGCCGTTCAGATCGAGCTGGTGGGAGATTCCAACCAGCATTGTATATGCTTTCTTTTACAAGAGAACAATGGTATTCCCAAATTTCTGAGATCTTCCGGTCCTAGATAGTGTATTAGCTGTCCGGAAGGTGTCCATGGATCCCACCAGAAGAAAAAGAAAGTGTCTTCTCCATTTCGAACAATAACTTGGAGAAAAAGTAAAGCTTTGTTGCGAAGCTTCAAAATTTTACGAAACATCCAAGAAAAAACAGGGTTATTTGTATTGAGAGACCAGAAACAGCGTCGAGAGAAGTACCTTAATCTCATCCAAGCTACCCAAATAGAGCCTGCCCTGAAGAAGAACATCCAAATAAGTTTCAACCCACACGTTTCATTCTAACTTGAGATCGTTCTCAGACCAAGCCCACCTTCCTTTTTTGGGAAGGACAAATCTGACCAGGACACAGAAAGAAAGCAACTACACAAAGAGTTAATTTTCTGAATCACCATTTTCGGGAGGAAGAAAGTCTGTGTCCAGAAACCTATGATTCCTGAGATAACATATGCAATTAGGCGAAGTCGAGCAGCCGGGCTCAAATGTCTATGCATCCATCTGTTAAGCTTCATTCTTATCTTCGAAATCAAAGGATCACAGTCTGAGACTGAAAATATCTTCGAACAAAGTGGAAGCCCTAAATAGCGGATTGGCAGAGAACCAGGCACCAGCGAGAACTGGTTCCTTAGCAGATCTAAGACATCTTGTGGCACTCCTGAAGTAAACATTGAAGTCTTACTAATGTTCACAGCTAGCCCGGATAGTTTCTCAAACAATGATAAAACTGTGAAAACGCCTGCTACGGATTGGGTTGTCCCTTCCACAAAAATTAAAAGATCATCCGTAAATGATAGATGGGTCAATTGTAAATCCTCACACTCTGGGTGGTTTAAAAATACCATTTTTTGCTGCCTTATTTAGCATAAGGGATAGAATATTCATGGCCAAGACAAAGAGAATTGGGGGAAAGAGGATCTCCCGGTTTTAAACTTGTTTTCCCTTTGAAATATCCCGATGTTGTGCCGTTTATACTCACCGAGAAACTTGGAGTGCAGATACACGCTTTGATCCATGAGATAAACTCTGAAGGAAGTTGGTATGCTAGTAGACAAGTCAGAATGAAATCCCAACGCATTGAATCAAAAGCTTTAGCAATATCAATCTTCAGAGTAATTCTTGGTGAGAGATTCTGCCGGTGATATCCTTGAAGTACTTCTGCCGCCAAGAGAACATTTTCAAGGAGAAGCCTATCTTTGATGAATGCCGTTTGATTATGCACTATTAAGCTGGGCAGTAGTTTTTTCAACCGATCCGAGATGAGACGAGTAATGAGCTTGTAAACTATGTTTAAACAGGATATCTGCCTAAAATCCTTCAGTTCATCAGCTCCACTCCTTTTCGGGATCAAAACAAGAGAGGTAGCAATGAGAGAAGTCGGCATGAAAGAAGACTTGAAGAAGTCCTGAACCAAGCCAATAACTTCGTTACCCACTAAATCCCAGCTAGCTTTGAAGAACTCAACCGGGAAACCATCTGGACCTGGCGTCTTATTCAGGGGCATCTTGAAGAGCGAAGATTTGATAATATCTGCAGAGACAAGAGCAGATAAAATCACTGTCTGAGCATGAGAGCAGAGAATCTGAATCAGTATGTGTAGATACAGATGTAGATACGGGTTATACTCTCCTCTAACCGTGGAGAAAATGCCATCATAATACCATTGTGCCAAGAGATGCACTTCCTGAAGAGACGAAGTTTTTGACCCATCAGTCTTGCGCAAATAATTAATGGAGTTTGAAGAATTCCTAACCGTCATGACTAGATGGAAGTAACGAGTATCCAAATCTCCCTCTTCCATCCATTTAATATGTGATCTTTGTCTGAAAAAGCTCTCCTCTGCCAGACGAAGAAACATCCATTGGTCTCTCGCAAACTGCACCCTTTCAACATTCAAAGGTATAAGGTTGTTTAAAGCCACCAGCTGCAGTTGTTTGAGAGAAGACATAGCTATTTGGACCCGTTGTTCGAGACTGCTGAATTTTTCTTTACATAGAGACTTGATAGTCTTCTTTAAAGATTTGAGCTTAAATCCAAGATCTTTGAGAGATGACGCCACTAAACCAGATGAATCCCAAACCTCTCTGATACGATGAATAAAGGAAGGAAGCTTTGCAACGAAGTTGTAGAACTTAAATGGCCGCGTACCAAAAGCAGGCGGCGGAGTAAGAAACTTTATGTGGCATGGTGTGTGGTCCGAAAATTCTGGGGGTTCAAAGGTGCAATGAGAAGATGGAAATAAGAGTAATAATTTATCATTGACAAGACATCGATCAATCTTCTTTGCCACCGGGGTGGACAGATGCTTATTAGACCAAGTATATTTGGTTCATTTGTTGGATAATTCCAGTAACTTTCAGAAGAAGTTATCTTTAGGAATAGCTAAAGATATATATAATAGGAAATATCAAGAATGGAAAAGATGTGTTTTCCATTCCTAATAGACTAAGGAGTAGCTTAGACCTATAAATAAGAGGTTATGGAGAGATGTTCCATAAGACTCAAGAGAGAGAGGTTTAGTTTTGTGAAGTTTCTAAATCTAATAAGAAGAGCAGTTCTTATACTTTCTTGTGTTTGATATATCAACTTGAATTGGTATCAGAGCTTCAAGGAGGAAGCCTCGGAACCTGACAAGCTGGTATACCAGTAATGGCGGAAGTAAACAACCTGCACCCGCGAGCTAGGGAAGCTGGAACTCCATCGATCCAATGCCCTATGCTCACATCGACAAACTACACAGTTTGGTCGATGAGGATGAGAGTCATACTTCGAGTTAATGAAGTATGGGAAACAATCGATCCGGGGTTACCAGATCCGAAGAAGAACTATGCAGCGATAGCACTTCTCTTCCAATCGATCCCGGAGTCCCTTATTCTTCAAGTGGGAGAACAAGAGACATCGAAAGGAGTGTGGAAAGCCATCAAGTCTCGTCATCTCGGAGCAGATCGTGTGAGAGAAGCGAGATTACAAACCCTCATGTCAGAGTTTGATAGACTAAGCATGTCAAGCACGGATTCAGTTGATGACTTCGCCGGAAAGATTTCAGGGTTAGCTTCAAAGGCAGCCTCACTCGGAGACGTCATAGAGGAGCCGAAACTTGTGAAGAAGTTCCTAAAGGGACTCCCGCGAAACAAGTATATTCAAATCGTTGCTTTACTTGAGCAAGTCCTAGACCTAAACAAAACGGGATTTGAAGACATAGTATGAAGAACGAGTTGGGGAAGAATCGCAGGGAGAGGAACAGAGCAAGCTTATATGGTCAAACAACGATCAAAATAGCCGCAGCGAACAGAATAACTGCGGAGGTTACGGTGGCAGAGGTAGAGGCCGTGGCGGCAGCAGAGGCAGAGGCCGAGGTCGTACAAATCGAAATTCAGGAGGAGAAAATAGAGAAAATACTCAAAACCGAAAGAAAGACATGAGTAAGGTACTCTGTTACAGGTGTGATAAACCTGGGCATTATGTAAACTCGTGTCCTGATCTACCGAAGAACCAGGAAGTGAACCTGAACGAGACAGATGAACCAGAAGCTCTTTATATTCATGAAGTGGTGTTCTTGAACGAGGATAAAGTATTTCCAAAACGTTATGACACCAGTGATGCTAAAGCGAGCGTGTGGTATCTCGACAACGGTGCCAGCAATCATATGATGGGAAAAAGGGAGTTTTTCTCAGTCTTAGACGAGAATATAAAAGGAAAAGTACGATTTGGTGATGGCTCAGACGTTGAAATCGTGGAGAAAGGTACTGTAGTCTTCGCTGGAAAGAACAGAGAGAGGAGAGCTTTTAAAGACATATACTACATACCCGACCTGAAGCACAACATCATGAGCCTTGGGCAAGCAACAGAGAACGGATGTGAGGTACACATGAAAGGCGAGATCCTAAAACTAAGAGATCCACGAGGCAAGTTGCTTGTGCAAGTCAGAAGATCACAAAATCGACTCTACAAAACACCAATGGAAGTGTGATACCCTAAGTGTTTTCAGATAATGGATGACGATATTACTCGGACATGGCATACACGGCTAGGACATGTAAGCTTTGGAGTAATGTCGAACATGGTGAAAAAGGCGATGGTGGTTGGCATGCCAGAAAAACTACACGAGACAGGTGTATGTGAAGCGTGTTTGTCGGGAAAACAAACTAGAGTGACATTCCCGATTAAAACCACTTTCTGTGCTACACAAGCCTTAGAGTTGTTACATGGTGACTTGTGTGGACCAATATCGCCACCAACACCAGCTAACAACAGGTATGTGTTCGTTCTAATCGATGATTACTCGAGGTATATGTGGGCTTTACTGCTGAAGGAGAAGAGTGAAGCCTTCGATCGATTCAAAAGTTTTAAAGAACTTGTCGAAAAGCAAACAGGAACGACAATCAAAGCCTTTCGAACCGATAGAGGAGGAGAGTTCACTTCAGCAGAATTCAATAAGTTTTGCGAACAGAAGGGAATCGCAAGACATCTAACTGCTCCGTATACACCACAACAGAATGGCGTGGTAGAAAGAAGGAATCGAACACTAATGGAGATGACGAGAAGTGTTCTTAAGGCGATGAGAATACCAAACTTCTTATGGGGAGAAGCTGTTCGTCATTCAGTCTACATCATCAACCGAGTTCCCTCAAAAGCCTTGAAGGATGAAATACCATACGAGAGCCTTACTAAGAAGAAACCAAACGTGCAACACCTAAGGGTTTTTGGGTGTGTAGTTCATGCCAAGATAACTGGTCCCTACCTTAAGAAGCTAGACAAGAGATCAAAGACTGTAATCAATCTTGGAACTGAGCAGGGCTCCAAGGCATACAGGCTGTATAATCCGATAGTCAAGAAAATAATGGTGAGCAGGGATATGGTATTTGAAGAAAACAGAGCATGGGATTGGTCTTCCTTAGTAAACAATACAGATGGTGAACCAGGGAAATTTACATTACCAAGGTATGGTCCTTTAGAAGCCAACGGAGATGCAGACATTCAGCACTATGAAAACGAAGAAGAGGAACAGAACGAACCTCATGAGGAACAAAACGATAATGATGGGGGAGGAGAAGACAACAACCATCACGATAACCATCAAGAGGAAGAACCAGAACCTGTTTTTACAAGATATGGGCGCAAGATAAATCTGCCAACATACCTTAGCGACTATGTCATGTTCGCCGATGAAGAAGGCGAACACCTGTTGCTTACGATCGATGGTGAGCCTGTAAACTATCATGAAGCTGCGGATCTACAAGAATGGATATATGCGATGATAGCAGAACAAGAATCCATCAGAAAGAATGGCGCATGGGAGCTTGTTGATAAACCTGATGGGGTAAAGCCTATAGGATTGAAGTGGATTTACAAGCTAAAGAAGAATGCAGATGGCTCAGTGAACAAGCACAAAGCCAGACTTGTTGCGAAAGGCTATGTACAGCAGCACAGTATTGACTTCGATGAAGTGTTCGCCCCTGTAGCACGAATCGAAACAATCCGTCTACTAATAGCCTTCGCAGCAACAAGAAGCTGGGAAATACATCATTTAGACGTCAAAACTGCATTCCTGAATGGCGATCTGAACGAGCTAGTGTATGTCACTTAACCTGAAGGATTCGTTAAGAAGGGTGAAGAGAACCGAGTGTATAAGCTTCATAAAGCACTATACGGTTTACGACAAGCCCCTAGAGCATGGAATGTAAAACTTGATCATGTCCTAAAGGGGATGAACTTTAAGAGGTGCTTAAAGGAAACCTCTGTATACTTCAAGAAGACGGGGAGGGACTTCTTGATAGTAGCAATATATGTAGATGATTTGTTCGTCACAGGAACCTCCAAGACAATTATTGATCGATTTAAAAAGGATATGTCAAGAAGATTTGAGATGTCAGACCTCGGCAAACTGACATACTACCTTGGAATTGAAGTGTTTCAAGGAGAAGATGGGATCAAAATCAAACAGAAGAGATACGCGAAAGGCATTCTAGCTGATACGAATATGGATTCGTGCAATCCGACTCATGTACCAATGGAGTCTGGTTTAAAGCTTTCTAAGGCATAAGACGAAGCAGAGATAGATGCAACAGTCTATAGAAGAGCTATAGGGTGCTTAAGGTATCTTCTTCACACAAGACCTGACTTAGCTTTTGCCATTGGAGTACTTAGCCGTTACATGCAAAGTCCGAGAGAATCACATGGACAAGCATTAAAACAAGTCTTGAGGTACATAAAAGGTAAAACAAATCAAGGGTTGTTTTTCAAGAAGGATGGGTCAAAGAGGCTCATAGGATATAGTGACAGCAGTCACAATATCGATGTAGACGACGGTAAAAGCACCTCAGGTCATGTATTCTACTTCGGATCATCGCCAATTACTTGGACATCGCAGAAGCAACCAACCGTTGCTTTGTCATCTTGTGAAGCAGAGTTTATGGCAGCAACAGAAGCAGCAAAGCAAGCTATATGGCTCAAAGAGCTGTTAAAGGAGATTCAGGATGGTGACGAGAAGGTCATACTAAGGATCGACAACAAATCAGCCATTGCCCTCACAAAGAACCCGGTAATCCACGGGAGAAGCAAACACATTCTCTCAAAATATCATCTTATACGTGAATGTGTAGAGAATGATCAGATCGAAGTGGAGCATGTACCAGGAACAGAGCAAAAGGCGGATATCCTTACTAAGCCATTAGCAAGGATCAAATTCAATGAAATGAGAAGCCTTATTGGAGTTCAAGCAATCGAAGTTCCCAAGATTCAAGCTGGAATTAAGGAGGAGAATGTTGGATAATTCCAATAACTTCCAGAAGAAGTTATCTTTAGGAGTAGCTAAAAATATATAGAATAGGAAATATCAAGAATGGAAAAGATGTGTTTTCCATTCCTAATAGACTAAGGAATAGCTTAGGCCTATAAATAAAATGTTATGGAGAGATGTTCCATAAGACTCAAGAGAGAGGGGTTTGGTTTTGTGAAGTTTCTAAATCTAATAAGAAGAGCAGTTCTTATACTTTCTTGTGTTTGATATATCGACTTGATCCTTGAGATGGCATGTCAAAGAGACCCAAATCTGATAAGCACTCACCAAACTCTCTCATTGCCTCTGTCGAGTTTATGAGATCTGGATTTGAAGATTCGAGAGGAGAAAGAATCTTGTTGAAGTCCCCATTTACTAACCACGGTAAGCTAGCTAGATTGAAAGAAATATATGAGTCCTGAAGTGATAATCACAACTTATTTCTTTCCTCTAGCTCATTCGAAGCATAAATAGCATAGTAGATAAAATAGATACCATTTTCTAAGGATACCTCACATGTAATAGATTGCTTATCCGAGAATAGATGGGAGATGGATGAAGCGCGCTTGAAAACTATCCAAATCTTCCCTAAAACAGAATACTCGCAGTTAGAAATAGCAGTCCAGCCAGAACCTATAGAAGCCAAAATACGTTCCATATTGTGGTCCCTAAGAGCAAGCCCAATAGATATACTATTAATTATTAATATTTTGTGTGATTTTTGTATATAAGTAACTTTGTAATATTTTGTTGTTTTTAGTATACAATGGAGACACTTTTGATGGGTGTCTTAAAAATAATATATATATATATATATTATAATAAATTTAAGTAAAAAATTTTGTTAATAACTCTTAAAATCTATTACATTTTCAAAAATGTAATACAGTAGAAACTTTTATAAATTAATCTTTAATAAATTTTTAAAAATTAATATTTAATAAATTAATAAATTAATCTTCAATACTTTTGTTTGGTCCCGAGTAAGACCGATCCAAAATTTAATATAAATCAATAAATTAATAAGATAATATTTTTTTGAAACTTTATATAAAATATAGTCCTATTTATATCATAAATTAATAAATATCATATAAAATAATTTTATATAATTATATAATAATGATAATCTATTAAATATAAGTATATTTTTGTTTTCGTACTAAATTTAAATATTTTTATCATTTATCTCTAATTTATAATAAAATTTTGAAAATATTATAAATTTAAAAGAAAATATTATTTTAATTAATTATTAATAAACAATTTATTTTATCCAAAACTGATAAATTAATAACTCTATAAATTAATAAAATATCGAAGTCCTAACATTATTAATATATAAAGTTTCTATTGTACATGAAAGCATATAAATTATAAATATGCAATTCAGAAACTGAAATTTTTCATCGTCCACTCACATCTTGCCATGTGTGCGTTCTTAATTTAGACACTAATGTCTTATTTTAGACACTGGTCTAAAATATAAGACACCATAAACTATTTTTTTATTCAGTTTTATTATTAAGAACATTTGTTTAGACTCTTCAAGATCTCTATTAGGGTTGGTCTAACATGTGTCTCAAGAAGGTCCAAAAGAAATTGATCAACTATTAATCCAATTTGATGCTTCTAAGATTCATTAAGTCCACACACCTTCCAAAAAAATGTATTACACATAAAATGATTTAGAATCTGTGACGCCCCCCTCCCCTCCCCCCCTAATTAGGGGAAAACTGCCACCATTGACTGGAGAGTTCTTGCTCTGCACCTTTCTCTTTTTCCTCCTCTGTTTGGAGGAGGTTGAAGAAGAAGGAGAGAATGTATCACGAATTTGTGGTGTTTGATGCACAACTATTTCCTGAATAACGTTTTCTTCACTCTAGTCTTCGGGCTCGACTGCCTCTTCTTGCGATAGTAAACCAAACACATTTTTGGTGCAAATGGTCATAGAACTAGATTCCTCTATTTGAGCCTTCCTACCTGAAATTGGGCGAATTGCTAGTGTAAAATCAGCTTGAGAAGCAGTCGGATGCGAAGCAGGTTCTACCGAAAGTGTTTATTGATGATCTTTCTCAGAATTTTTCTCAACAGGGAAACCCACTTGATCCTCTGAAATTATAGTGGAAGATTTCTTCATCACAGACATCGACGCTTCACCAGTTTCCTGTGGAATTTGTTCTGTAGTCACCGGTACGTCTGACTGACCGATCACACCTATAGCCTGAGCCACTATCGAGGCGTTGATGTCATTCATTGTTTATAAAAATTATATGATACTTTCTGATGTTAAAAAACAAAAAGAAATAGTAGATCATTCAGTATGTTGTTTTTGACTTGAAATATTCTCTCTATGGACAGATGCATATAACTCAGCTTTTTTTGTTGTAATATAAAAAACACATGAAGGTAAATAACACAATTTATCAATATGTATTTTCTATTTTGATCAAATTAAATATGCAACACAATTTAACCTACATACATAGTTTAATCAGGGCAATATTTTCTTAAAAGATCCAAATTTAATCAGGGCAATATTTTATTACACCAAGGCCCATAACTGCATACCCAAGTAGTAGATTAAAGCAGAGAGCCAGAAAGCATCAATGAAATCTTACATCATATAATATATAAAAGTTGAAGGCATAGTGCATTGAGGACGTCCACATGTGATTGAAAAACTCGATCTGATTGGTCCACATCAGCATATTCATTAAATAAAAAAATGTTAAGTATGATTATGACGAAAAACTTGTTTTAATTGGTCCACATCAGCTTTTAAATCAAACCAAAAATTATTAAGTATAATTAAAATATGAAAAGTTAATTTAATAAATTATGTCCAAAAAAAAAGTAAATTCAATCTGATTGATCCAAATCAATATATTTATTAAATCAGAAAATGTTAATATGGTTTAAAGTTTTTAAAAGTTAAATAAAAAAAATAAACAATTAAAAATACATTTATAAAAAAGTAATCATTATCAATTATCAATTTAGAAAAATCTACAACAACTCGATTTAACAATTAAAACAATGAAAACTGAATAAAAATATAACATAAAACTCTTGGAAAACATGATGGAGAAGGAAAAAAATAGTTTTGCATGATCATTACAGCTTCCTAACAAAATTAAATGCGAATCAACATGAATCATGAATTATATATACAGTGGTACACAACATCAATAAGACTTTCAATAAAAAACTAAATATTTGAACACATAAACCTTCAAGAAAAAAAGAACTATAGAAATTCTATGAAAAACAGAAAATAATACCAAATCTTAGCAAGATTATACTTCTCTAAATCGAATGTATATGTACATCAAAGTTGGATAATTCGATAAGTGTCATTGTTATTATTTTACCTCATAGTTTTTTAAAATTTATAAATAAAAATAAGATAACTTACACATTATATATTAAATTCTTTTATATAAATAAAAATTTCTATAAATATATATAATTTTTAATAATTTTAAAGATAGTAGCTAAAAAAAAAAACCAAAATATTAATACATATTCGCACTACGCGCGAGTTATATACCTAGTTATAAGAAATATGGATTACTGGTAATAAAAAAGTTGTTATAAACTTAAGTTGCATTGTATCACAAGTTAATAACTCCAAACAGCTTCATCCTCCTCTATATCAGTCGTCCAAGGAGAAGGTTGTCTTCTTACCGCTGTAGCATGCCTGCTGTATTCTCAGCTTTGGTGTGTTCTCCAAACCAAAGCCTTCTCGTCGAAGCTTGTCTTCGTGCCTGGAATATATCAAAAACCCTCGTCATCTCTTCCATGTATACCAAAAACTTGACACCCAAAAATGTGGCTCTTGATAACAAAACTCTCTAAAGGCAAATAGTTAAATCCCTTACCAAAAGCTTCTCTGCGAGCTTCTCTGCAAGTTTGTACCTAATTAACAAAAATAATAGCGTTAATCTTCTTCTGTTATGACATCAAAACTGTAGAAATAAGTATATGGAAAATCAATTTACTTGGCTCGGAAAGGGTATGGAGCTATCTCAGCCATGTTAACATAAAACATCCTACAATTCTTCGTTTGCACCGCCTACAGTAGAAAAGGTTTAATCAGCAGTCCTACGTAAGTGAATAGTTTTCATTATAAGTATAATAACACTAATTTTCAAACTAGTTCAAAACTTTTCATCATTACTCTCACCTTCTTTGCTTCGTCAGCAGAAGCAAACTCAACAAAGCAACAGCCCAAACGCCTGCCCTCGCGGGTTACAATTAGTCGAACACGAACAATGTCTCCAACATCGTTGAAAAATTTGTAGCTGTAAAAATGGAGGATAAAAATATAGTCTTAAGAAGAAACTTGCCCCAAGAGCGAAAGAGGAAACTAAAGGAGCTACTTACATATCTGGTATGTAAGAAATTGCATCTTTTTTTCTGACGGGCAACATAGACCGTCTTCTCTCTTACGGCAAGATCCTGAATTTAACAGCCAAGTGTGTTAGCACGACTCTAATGAGAGAAGGACTTCAATTGCATAACAACAACAACAAAAAAGTAGATCCATCCCTAGAATAAGTCATCTTTCGACTTGGCAACAGTTCTATTATTGAACCCTAAGCGTTTCTTCTGAGCCTGACATATTTTGAAGAGGTACCTCAGCAAAATCGGGAGTTTCATCAAGTCCTTCCACTGCCGCGTCTTCTTCTATCAAAAGGCTTTCCCGTCGAAGGTAGTCTCCGTACCTGGAATATCAAAAGCTCTTGTGATCTCTCCATGTATTCCAAAAACCACACCCAATGTGCTCTTGATAACAAAACTCTAAAGGCAAATAGATAAATCCCTTACCAAACCTTGTGATCTACGCAAACCCTAATTGACAAAAATAATACCGTCAGTCTTCTCTGTAATGGCATCCAAACTCTAGTAATAAGTTACATAAACAAATCTCCATAGCATGGAAAGTCAATTTACATGGGTCTTGGAGGGTCTGGATCTGTCTTAACAACATCAAGAAAAATCTGGCAATCGTGCAAATATTCACCGTTCTTCTTGTTGAGCGCCTACAGTAAAGAAGATCTAATCAGCAATCGTACTTTCAGAGAACTAAATGTATATATTTTATATATTATACACTGCTTTTCAAATGACTACCAAAAATACTTTTCATCATTACTATAAGCTACTCTCACCTTATTTGCTTCGTTAGCAGAAGCAAACTCAACAAAGCCATTGCCTACATGCTTGAGATTGTGGTCTACCCTAAGTCGAACATGAACAACTTGTCCAACATCTTTGAAGAAATTGATGCTGTAAATATGGAGGGTAAAATATATATATATATATATATATATATCAGTCATAAGAAGAAACTTGCTCCAAGAACGAAAGAGGAGATTAAAGGTGTGCTACTTACATATCTGATATTTCAGTTTCATCAGAGAGATTGGCAACATAGAGCGTCTTTTCAATTATGGCAAGAGCCTGAATTTAACAGCCAAGTGTGTTAGGAGAAAACGACTTAAATTGCATAACAACAAAAGATTAAATCTGAAAGTCATCTTTCGACATCGTGGCAACAGTTCTTTTACTAAACGCGCCTGGCATATTTTGAAGATAATAGGAAGAGGTACCTCAACAGAGTTGGGAGTTTTATCTTGTCCTTTCATCAACAAAATCTTACGATCGTCCAAATATTTACCATTCTTGTTTTCCAGCGCCTACAGTATAAAAGATGTAATCAGCTATCATTATTTCAAAGTAACTACAAGTATATTTTTCAAATGACTACTAAAAATACTTTTCATCATTACTACAAAACAACTCACCCACTTTGCTTGGTAAGCAGAATCAAACTCAACGAAGCCATAGCCCACATGCTTACCCTCATGGTTTACAATAAGTCGAACACCAACAACATTTGCAAAATCTTCGAAGAACTTGATGCTGCAAAAGTGGAGGATAAAATATCAGTCATGCAAAAACTTGGTCCAAGAACGAAAATGGAAATGAAAGGTGCTGCTTACATATGTGCGATTTTAGTTGTTTAGGGAGAGAGATTGGCAACAAAGAGCGCTGCCTGAATTTTAACAGCCAAGAGTGTGTTAGCATAACAACAAAAAAATGTAGCCTCATCTAAAGATTCATCCCTAAATTAAGTCTTTCGGCTTTGTGGCAACAGTGGTGTTATTAAACGATAAGCGTTTCTTCAGATCCTGACATGCTTTGAAAACAATAAGAAGAGGAACCTCAGCAAAATCGGGAGGTGTCTCATTTTCTTCTATCTTAAGGCTTTCTCGTTGAGGGTAGTCTTCGTACCTGGAATATAACAAAAACCCTTGTGATCTTTCCATGTATACGAAACATTTCGCCCAATTTGCTCTTGATAACAAACTAAAAAGGCAAATAGTTAGATCCCTTACCAAACCGTGTGTTCCACGCAATACCTAATTAGCAAAAAAAAAATATAGTGTTAATCTTCTGTAATGGCATCAAAACTCTAGCAATAAGTTACAGAAACAAATCAATTTACTTGGATGGGGCAGCTCCCTTATTAACCAAAGAAATCTGACGATCGAGCAAATTTATACCGTTCTTCTTCTGCAACGCCTACGTTGAGAAAATTCAGTACTTTCAGATATATACTTCTACTTGTATATATATTTTTTTATATAAGTATACACTACTTTTCAAATGAATACTTATATACTTATTTCACCATTACTGTAAACAACTCTCACCTTCTTTGCTTCATTAGCAGAAGCAAACTCAACAAAGCCAACGCACCTATGAATACACTCCTGGGTTACTCCAAGTCAAACACGAACAACTTGTCCAACATCTTTAAAGAAATCGATGCTGTCGATAAAACATCAAGTCATGAAAAACATTGCTCCGGGAAAGAAAGTGGAAATTTAAGGTGCTACTTACATATCTGATACTTCAGCTTGGGGACTGAGATGGAACATAAATAGCATCTTTTTCGGCAAGGCGGATTCCTGAATTTAACAGCCAAGTGTGTTAGCACGACTCTAAGGAGAAAAGGACTTAACTTTCATTACAATAAGAAAGTAAATTCATCCCCAGAATAAGAATAAGTCATCTTTCGACTACGTGGAGAGACAATTGTGTTATTAAACCCTAAAACTTTATTAAAAAAAAAAAGTTATTAACCACTAAGCAAGACATGATTTGAAGAAAATAAGAAGAGTACCTCAAAATCACGAGTTTTAAGTTCTTCCACTGTCTCCTGTCATATTTTGAAGATAATACGAAGAAGATGCTTAGTTGAAACAATAAACTTGTACAATATGTGCAATATATATCTAACAAACAGTATAATGTTTAAAGTTTTCCAATAATTATACCTTCACTGAGATTAAATCGACCTGGTCAAACTTTGTCTCCGACAACTTAACCCTTCGTTTGATCTCATCGGGTTTTTCTGTATGTTTCTTCAGAATCGGTTTGGTCTTTAAATCATCTTCCGGCCTTCGCTTTCTCAACAAAATAGCTTCGGCGGCCGTTATCTTGCTAGAACTGGCCATGGCCATGGAGAAGATGAAAACAATCCCGGAAAGAGTTGAGAGCAGCAGCAATAAGTTGTAAATAACCCTAGTTAATTAATTTATTTTTTTGGTTTATAAGAAAAGTTAATTAGTTATATTTGTTAAAGTTTATTTATTTAATAGGTGATCGGGTTATAAAATATTTTTTATGTTAGATATATAATTAATATTGTATATTGGAAAATATTTTATTTATATAATTAATTATGTATTAATTATGAACATTTAATAATATTTGAAATAGAAAATGTTATAAACCGTAATAAAAAATTTTATACAAAATTTTTTTAATAAAAAATACAAAATGGTTCCTTAGAATAAAAATGACTAATATAATAAGTAAATAAACTGAAACTATTAAAACATATAAATAGAGTTCCCAAAATATCAAAAGCACTTAAGAGTTCCACAGTTGCATGAATCTTTGTTCCCTGAAAAGATTGTAACCAGGAGACAGTTAAAGTAGTACTTTTGAGAAGTAAAAATAAAACTTAATAATAGAGAAATAAAATATAATAACAAAAAAATATTAAAAAAACAAACTTCTTCATAGACAAAGACCATTTCAATTGATTTACCAACACCAGTTATAAAAGAATTCCATAAAACTTATATATGTGCTTTGATCTTCTGCACTTTGGATGCTGGATCGAAATTGTTTAGCATGATGAAATAGAACTAGGATTTAGTCCGCTCTACATGAGGAGTAACTGATTATATATATATATATATTTAATTTAAATTGTACTATGCAATTTAGTTTTGCAGATATATATTTTATTATATTAGCTGATATGTTTATTGTCTGGTTTTATTGTTTGTTGAACTAAAAAGTGTTGTTATTTGTGAATGGTCTTTTCTTTTCTTTACATGTGATATGTATTCTAAGTTTGTAGTTATGTTTATATAATTATTGGATCCTTTGTCGATTATATATGTGAATTACTTTGTATAGTTAAGATTTCGACTTAGAATTCGATAGATTTTAAAAATATATGTAAATTATTTTTGATGCTGTTATTATTTAACACTCTAAATATTTGATTAAGATGATTGTTAGGTATTTTATTTTAATTAAATAAGACTTTTTAAAATTATATAGTAGATGAATATAGGAACATTCTTATTTTTGTGTTTTACCATTATATTTGTGGTCAACTTAGAAAATATGAAAACTTATATTTTGATTTACTATAAAAAATACTTTTATTTTAGATATATATATATATATATATATATATATATGAATTACTTAAAGCGTTGAAATATTTTTAAATAATATCGAAACTTATAAGTTATGTTGTACATATATATAAATTTAATTATTTTTATCTACCATCGCAACTGGTTACGATTTTTTATATTACAAATAATTTTTATGAATTACGAATATATTATTTTAAAATAATATCAAACAGAAAAAATATCAGTGTTGATGTTCAAATTATTAAATAAATTTAAACAAAAAATTAGACTTGTTAATTGAATAAAAATTGTATAAATTTTTTTAAATTTGAAAAGAAACTAAATAAAATATCAACAATCAAAAAGGGAAAGCCCAACTTGAAAAAGCCCAAAGTAATAAACTAAACGGTATACAATTTTATCTTTCTTTCGACTCTTCCTCTCCAGATTATCGAAAAGACAAACCTTCGTCTCGACTCTTCTTCTCCCGACTTCGACGAAAAGACAAACCAAAAATCAGATTCATTTCTTGTCCTACTTCGTTTCTTCTCCTCCAAATCACATACATCTCTGAACAGAAGTTCCTCTAATCTTCCGATCTACTTAAATCTCTATTTTCTTTCAAACACATCGATCTCATAGCAAAGTCGATTGATCTCGCCGTTTAAATCCTTCGATCTTGCAAATAACGAAGAGTTCCGATCATTTCATGCAATTCAATCATCGGTTCAATCGATCTGTTCGATCTCATAAATTGAAGATTCGTTTTCAAAGTACGAAGTCAAAATTTGGCCGATTGACTTTGCAATTGTTCTTGGGAGGGCAAATTCCAGATAAGTAATTATATATCTTTTCATGCATGTAGAATTAGTTTCACAAATAGTTGAGGTGATGAGTAACTGTAGATCAATCGTTGTTTGTGTTTATTACAGGGATGGATCGGAAAGAAACGTCCGATGAATACTTCTACAACAAAAAAAAAATAAGATAAGTAACTCATATTTTTTTCTTTGGTGTTTTTAGTAAATAATGTTTACAATAGATTGTTTTTGAAAGAGTGAAAATTATAATTGATATTTTTGATAATTAACCAAATAATTAGACGAAACAATGTTTTTTATTCCTAATTATAAACATGATCAGGTTTTCTGATGAATATTTCTTCGGACAGAATATATATTTTGTTATTTTTGTGAATTAGCACAAAAACTGATCATAATTACTTGTTTTTTTTTAAACAGGAAATTCGTGAACAGATTAAAATTCCAAATAGATGAGATGCTGCACATTTGGAAAATAAAAGAACTTTTTGCTACTAAACGGTATTTAAAGAAAATCCAGAAGAACATGTCAGTTTTTCTTCGTTCTTTTATATTCCTGAGTATACGTTAGATGAATGATGAGTATTTTAATAAAAATTCTTTGCTTAATAGACAATGATTGATTGAAAATAGATAAGTTTGAAATACAAAAACATCAAGTATAAAAAATCAAATAAAAATAACAACTAAAAGAAATTAAGTCATTGTTATAACAACTAAAAGTTTTGAAAAATCTCTTTGAAAACAACATATGTAGTCTGCTTCTGAGGATTCCCTTCCTTGTCTATTATAAGAATTTTCAAACCTTTCTTAGAAGTAACTCGAGAGAGTGCAACGTAAAGCTAACCATGAGAAAACACGGGCCGAGGAAGAAACAGACCAACTTCCTTTAATGATTGTCTTTGGCTCTTGTTAATGATCATAGCAAAAGCTACAGCTAATGGAAACTGTCATCTTCTCATTTTAAAAGGCAGCTTAACGTCTGATGGAGAAATCACAATCTAAGGAATCAAAATCTTAGAACCCACTCTATCTCCTGTAATAACTCGAGCTTCTAAAACATGATCAGCCATTTGTGTTATCTGTAATCTAGTTCCATTACATAATCCCCCCTTAGGATCTATGTTTCGTAGCAACATCACTGGAACACCTATCTTAAGACGTATAGAATGTTTGGGTAATCCAGGTACCTTTATACTGTGAAGGAAATCAAGAGTGAAAATTGGATTGTTGCTTGAAACTGTATCCATAGGATCTATAGTATCAGCACTTAAATAAACTCTTTCATCACCTGATACAAATAAATAATTAACTCAATATACTTATGCATATATTAATAACAACTTTACAGTTAAATGTAAATATTATAAAAAATAAGAATGTACATTTAATTTTATCATTGATCAAATCAACATCGTCATTGGTTAGACATAAGATAGCTCTTTCTTGAAAAAACTTTGGATCATCATTCTGTATCAACAAATTTGGATCACCATAAACTTCATTGCTAATCACTTCAAGGGGATCAATCGCTTCAGTAATAAGTAATTCTTCAGGAATATCTATTAGAGCTTCACCGTCATTAGGCTTCGAAAGTTTTCCATCTCCGACATCTAATAACCATTCTGAGAATTTCTTAATTTCATTAGCTTCATCGCGACTCAGATTACCAGACAATAGCCTCATGTTCTTAGTTAACTTCAGGACCTTGCAATGTTCCCATATATAAGATGAATTCAATGAAGACATAACTATCTCCGCTCTCCCTGCACCATTAATTACAGGTAGAACCTGTCTAAAATCCCTTCCAAAAACCATAACTTTGCCTGCAAAAGGATTGCCATCTACGTTTCCAATAATATCAGACAAACTTCTATCCAAGGATTCAAAGCAATACTTGCTCATCATAGGGGCTTCGTCTCAGATTATCATCGCTGCTTCTTTAACCATATTAGCAAGATCTGATCCAGCTTTCATCGAACATAAAGTAAAGTCATCAGGATTAATAGGAATACCAAACCTCGAGTGTGCTGTCTTACCTCCTTCTAACAACAAAGAAGCAATACCGCTAGATGCCATATTGAGTACAATAAACCCTTTAGATTGTATCGCAGCTGATAAAGTTTTCCACATAAATGTTTTACCGGTTCCTCCAAAACCATAGACAAAGAATATACCTCCTTTTCCACTAAAAACGGCACTTGTGATTTGATCATATATTCCTCTCTGCTCGGATGTTAATATCTTCAACCATTCATCATGTTTCTTCTCTAAATCAACAGTGTCGTAGGACATCTCATCAATAATAAAAAGATTCTCATGATTGATCCTCTCTCCACTTGGTTGTGGCATTGATGGAAATCGATCGAGAGAAGTTCCCATGTTCAACAATAGCTTATCAATTTCTTGCAGAGTAAATTTTTTCTTGTCAGCATCGTTTAAATGAAGATCTGTAAATATTTAAACAATAATTAGAATACAATACTGTGAAAAACATGATATTAATAAATGTATGAACAAATTAAAAATGTTTCCTATTACCAGGATTGTTGAACTCAATTCTTTTCTTTCTCTCCATATCCTCTGATAGAGTAAGCCATGTCTTCTCCCAAACATCTTCTGGAGTTGTTAAGCAATCAGAAAAAAGCATCAACGCAAAGAAGTTATGGAGATAATCTCCAAAACACCATAAACTTGCAGATATAATACTGTCAATATACATCTGATCATCTTCCAAAATACCATGCGCAAAACATGCTTTTTTATATGTTTTATAAACAACTCCTTTGAATTCTCGAATCTCTTCAAAACTTCTAGGACCAGTGACTATATTTAGAAGAACTCGGAGATAGTAATCACTTTATAATTTCCTTGGAACATAGTTAATCCTCCCAATACTAAAACCCTTTTTCCTTATGCGATTGAATTCCTTGGCTTTACTATTGTATGTATAGTGATTCGGTACCTGTGCATAAGTAAGAGTCCGAGCAAACGAATCCTTATTATTTAGTTCCATCCAAGCCAGAAACTGAGATCTTTG